TAGTCCTCCATATTATTTCTTCTGATGAACTGTATCTATTAACCACTCTGATCCCATACCTAGCCCCGTCTGGTAAACTCCTTTTCACTATTCAAGTTCTACTTTAAAGTAACCTCCTCTCTATAACCTGTCTCCCTCCCTTCTCTACCATCTGGTAATCGCTTCCTCACTTAAGTTCTAAAATTACTTTATAAACACTTCTATTATACTACCAGTCAACCTGTTTACTGCCTGTCTCTTTCCAGTGCTCCTCAAATGGCACCTTCCTCACAATTAAATCATGAGTTGCTGAGAAAAAGAACCATATGTCATAGGCAGTACAAACAGTGGTTAAGAGCAGAATTTCAAGCCAGACTGCTTGGCTAGGGATCCTGTTGTACCATTTCCCAGCAATATGACCTTCAGAAAACTGTCTTTAATCTTCAGTTTCCCCAAATGCAAAAATTATACCTACTTCATGGTGGTAGTATAAGGAATGCATAAAATAATGAAAACCACTTAGAACCATGCCAGAAAATTCCTGTTTAATAGCAGGAATTTAAGCTGAACAATAAACAAAATGCCTCAACATGAATCGGCCATTTAATATATATCCACCAAAATAAAAATGCCATTTGATGTTAAAATGGTGTAACTGTAATTATTCTACAATACTTGGATTTTTCTGAAACTCTGGAAATTCCTAAAAGAAATTCCATAAAGGTTTTATTAGTCTACTTTATTATAACAATTATGGTACATTTTTAATTTAAAGTTACTATATACATGTTTTTCCTAAAACTACAGTAGCCTTAAGTCTTGGAGAAGATCTCATTCACTGTTACTAATGGGTTAATTCCATGGTCATTCCTTTTTTCTTTTCTATTAACTGAATTTCCTATAAGTTCTCTTTTTAAGGCAACTGTGTTTAATCTGGAACTGCCTAATATTTAACATAATATTTTCCATCTTAACATCAGTTAATAAGAAATAATTTTTCATCTTATTTTTAATGTTAAAAAAGAAAAACTCTATTTGAAGATCATCATAAACTTTTGAAAATAACAAAAGCACTTCCAAATACTAATTTATTCCACAGACTATTACACATGAAAGATAACTCCATACATAGCCAAGAGTTTAAATCCCTTCATTTTACTGATGAGAAAATTAAAAACTAAAAAGATTAAAGAAATGACCAAGTTTTAAAATGTAGGTACACTGACTCTCAGGCCTGTCCTCTTTTAGGGATATATTTGAAGGCTCCAGACTAGCAACATTACCCACCGTGGTAGAAACATATTATTCTTATTCCTACCAGCATTTACAAAACTAAGTTTGGCTGATGTGATAACAGAATAATATGTGCTCTACCATGAATCTACCATTAAGGTAGGTATCCTACTCTGGGTGGAGGAAAGTTGGGGGTCATGTCCAGAAGGAACAAAAGGGAAGAAAAAAAATTAGAAATAACCCAGATAGCTTTTAAGTCATATGCAGTTATAATTGAGATTACTATTGACATAGAAAGAGTTCATGTCTGTCTTATCTAAGGTTTTGGAGTACTCTCTGCCCCTCCCATCCCATGATACAAAACCTTTAAACCTTTGAGAAATTAAAGTATTTTAACATATTATCATGTTATTATTTTAGCTTAAAATTTTTCATAGTGACAAACTTTCTTCCAGTAAAAGCAAATAAAACAGTGAAGTGTTTAAATAAAACAAAGGAATGCATTTGAATCTTAAAAGATAATTTACAAAGTTAAAATAAAATATAGGAAAATGTTTAAGTTAAAAGGGGCTGGGATTGCAGCTCAGTGGTAGAGCCTGTGGAGCATGCATGAGGCACTAGGTTTGATCCCAGCACCACATAAAAATAAACAAAATAAAGGTACTGTGTCCATCTTTACAACTAAAAAAATAGTTAAAAAAACAAAAAAAAGGCTATGGCCAGGGCCGGGTGCAGTAGCACACACCAGTAATACCAATGGCTCAGAATGTTAGGTAGCAGCTAGCAATGAGCATTGAGATATATGGATTAATGGGACTAACAACAGGGTCCACCCGGAAATTGATGTGAAGTTAGGAATTATAGCTATAAGTGTGTCTCCATGTATCTAGGAAGACTTTGCACTGTAACTTCTGACCAGCTATTGACCCCAGTGCCCACATTAACATGGGACTGACTTGTAGACAAAGCCCTCCTAAGTAGGATGGCCACTATGACAATTCTGGAGAGGACCAACTAAGGTCAAATACTCTACCACCCAACATGAAGGAGGGACTGAACCTATGATTGGTAAAGAGTACAGAAGGTGGTCCCCAGTTCTCCTGGTAAGCATCAAATAGTAATAAAATTTGGGGACAGCATTGTATTTCTTATCATTCTCTGCACAGAGATAGCCCACTCTCTCTTAAGAGTGCTCTCTGCTTACACCTCACGTTTCCTTTATGTTCACCTCACTTTTGCTTATAATAAAGTTCTCTTGCATGGCTTTTGGTATCTGACTTTAAATTTTCTTTCACTGGAACACAAGAACAGGGGTTTGGAGTTTTAGCTCCCTGCTTTCCCGTGACAAGGAGGCTGAGACAGGAGGCTAACAAGTTCAAAGCCAGCCTCATCAATTTAGTGAGGCTCTAAACAATTAGCAAGACTCTATCTCAAAATAAAATATAAAAAGGATGTGGCTGAATGGTTAAGTGTCCTGGGTTCAATCCCCAGCACAAAAGAAAAAAGAGAAAAAAAAAAAAAAACCTCTGTAGGAAATCAGGATTCATTGTTGAATCTCAGAGCACTATACATTATGTTGTATAAAATGAACCAAAAGTCTATGTTCGAAAATGCCTACAGGATCAGGAAAATTTAAACACTAAATATTTAATGAATTTGGCATTACTGTTGAAATTTATTTTAGATCTGATAAAAATTAAAATTCTTCTTCTTTAGATATACAGACTTTGTATTTGTGGATAAAATATGTGGAGATTTGCTTCAAAATAATCCAGGTGGGGGAGGGAGGTTAGAGATAAAATAAGATTGGCTGTGAGTTGACAACTGTTAAATTAGGGACAGACATCTGAAAGTTCATTTTACTACATGTTTTACCTCTGAACTATGAATTTTTTCCTAATAAAAAGTCAAAACAGTGCTGGATATGGTGGAACACACCTTTAATCCAGCAATTCAGAGGATTACAAGTTCCACGTTAGCCTCAGAAACTTAGGAAGACCCTGTCTCAAAATTAAAAATAAATAAATAAATTTAACGAACTGAGAATATAACTCAGTGGTAGAGTATCACTGGGTTCAATCCTCAGTACTGCAAAAAAAGTTAAAAGTCCCCACTATATAGTAATATAATATAAAAGTATGAGCTCTATAATCTCAGAAACCTAGGTTTCAAATTGAGTAATTCATTTAATCTTTCTCACCCTATATTGATTCATTTATAACTGAAATATCACTATTATGGTATTATTATGTAGATTTGATAATATACATATAAAACATATAGTACTGTCCTGGCCCAAATTAGAAGTTTAATAAATCTAATCATATTTCTTACTTTCTTCTTCAACTCTTCTTTTATAAACTGCAAAATAGTTCTCTGCCAATTGCTGACCCTTAATTTCCAGTTCTGTGTTCCACATCCATTTTAATATCTATCATCTAATCTTTGTATTTCCTCTGATTTTCTTCTCTTGGGTTTTCTATTATTTCTCCTTCACATGTCTGCTTTTTCTTGACAAGGCAGTTTAAAATAGTGCTATTAAGCACACAGGCTTTAGAGTCAATAGTTAGTCTTCAATTTTGGCTCTAATCCTTACTAGCTCTGAGACCCTGGGCAAGTTACTTCAGCTTTAAAACCCAAGTTTCTTCATCTGTAAAGTAAGATAATTACAGAACCTAGTTTTGAGTAGTTATTGTAAAGATCAGATGAGAAATTTCTCATAAAGCATTTGGCACAGTGAAATGCTCCAGAAATACTGTCTATCAACTTTCTATTTATTTATATTAAGGCTGGTTTCCTACAGAATCATCAGGGAACAAACTGTTCCCTCTTCACAAGGAACTACTTCAGGACTCAGCATTCACCATGTGTGAGGTTCAAACTCATAGTATTTGTCTTCCTCTGACTTCACCCACCACATGGCCATGATTTCAGTCCCCATGCTAGTTCATTTTTAAAAAAATGTGTGTTCTGTGATATTATCAACTTGTAATTGCAAAAGAACAATTTAACAATAGCTAATATGCCTCCCTATTTTAGGTATCACCTTTCTACTTCTGTGTCATTAAGTTTTATAAATAAGATTATATTAAACTCAACATATTAAGAATATATTAAAGAAACCCATGCAGAATTGTCCTGTTTATGGAATTCCTTGGTGTGTTCTATTGCTGACCAACTCTATTCACATGGGGAAAGGATTTTAATTTCTGTAGTTCTACAGAGAAAAAAGTACTCTTGAATAGTTATGAAACTATGAACAAGAATAACAAACACTATCACAAAAAAACCCCAACAACCCCAAAGTTTCCACCGCTTGTTCCTATACCCTCTCTCTAATAATGCTTATTTTTTTCAATTCTGCATAAGAATAATCAAGATCTAAAATGTCTCCAATTTTCTTAAGTGGATTTACCTATACAAGGAACAAAAGAGTAATAATAGAGGCTTGCTGGTCTCTCATAAAAGAACTTAAATAGCTGGTGACTCAAAGGTGAATCAATGTCAACTGATATCCTATGCACCGGAGAGATAAGGTATCAAGTGAGATGAGTTGCTCAGGGAACCTAAGTCATTCTCTTGACCAGGTCTGTCAAATCTAATATCCTTTTAGGTTCACCAAAACCCAAAAAGAGTCCTTTACCATTATCTAGGATCAAAACTACTACTTCATATATCTCTAGCACTTATGCAAATTACACAATACTTCACATACACAGTGTATTCCCATGACTCATAACAACGTATGATATTATATACATATAATTATTTTGTGTGTGTGTTGGGGGTGGTGGTGCTGGGGATTGAACCCAGGGCCTTATGCATGCTAGGCAAGTGCCCTACCACTGAGCTACATCCCCAGCCCATACTTTTTCACATGAGGAAAATAAGGATGAAAAAGGCCAAGTGTCTTGTACATGATCATGTAATAAATGGTACAGTCAAAACTGAAACAGATCTATCAACCCTGTGTGCCAAGATGGACAAGCAATACCAGACAGCAATTAAAAATAGTATTGTGTCTAATATTTACTAAAGATAACTGATAAAGTGAAGTAATTGAGATAGTTCCTTTATATGTGGCAAAAAAATATGTAGACCAGTGGTTCTGGTTCTCAACACCCCAATACAAATTTTAAATTATTGAGGACCCCAAAGGACCAATACTTTTGTGAATTATATTCATAAATATTTCCCATATGAGATATTTAAAATGATAGTGTTTATAACATAAGAATGTACAAGCTTACATTTCATTAATAGGGTGATGAGTCATCACACATAACTTCTGGAAAACACCACCAATATACTTATGAGAGAATGAGAGTGCTAAAGGCAGAAACATTCTCAAATTACTATGGGAATTGTTTTGATTTGGTAGGTTTTGATTTGGTAGGTCCATCTTGGGAAAGATTGGAGATTCAAAAGGATGCCCCAATAACACATAGAAAACCATTTAGTTAGACTGTAATAACTCTTAATTGTGGCAATTCTTTTTTTAATTATTTTTGGTTGTAGATGGACACAATACCTTTATTTTATTTATTTATTTCTATATGATGCTGAGGATTGAATCCGTGCCTCACACGTGCCAGGCAAGCACTCCACCACTGAGCCACAACTCCAGCCCCCACAATTCTTTTTAAAAAAGTTTAAGCCACAACTCATTACCTTAAGTTCACTATTTCTCCTACTTGATTAAAACAAAACCTTAAAAAGATGACTATTTTGCTTTATTCCCTTTCAGCACTAGTTCTTTCTTCAGTATACTGTAGAATAGGCATAGATCGTATTGAACATTTATTGAATAAAATGATTTTTTTCTGAATTGAGGGACAAAAAACATCTTAAGGTAAAATTATTGCCTCACTACTATAATAAAGGCATAAACAATTATTTAATACAAAAGTCTAGTCATCTTAAACCAGTCAAATGAATTAAGACAAAAACAAAAACAAAAAACTCTGTTTCAGATATGAAGTAAGAAACAGCAAAAGAAATGATAACAAATTTAATACTTCAAGGTTATAATTGTCAGCTTTTCCCCAATTTCTCCCTAGCCAAGTAAAAGCAAAACATCTTCAAAAGTATGATTGTATTTCTCCATCTCAGTTTATAATTATTTCACTCAAGTTTGAACTTATTAAATGAAAATGGTAATTTTTATCTACATAGTTGAGAGGTAGCTCTACATTAGACTTATGGTAGGATAAGAGGCAGCCTGCAGAAATAATAGAAGAGTATTAAACAATGCCACCTTAATGCAATCAATTTTGCATAATTGTGTTCTCTTTAAAAATTTTAGATTCTATTTCATTTGGTCTCAAAAATAATAACTTAAACCAACAAATCAATAGTAATTACAGAAACAGATTCCTTATCTTCTAATTCTACTTTTTGAAGGCAACAGGCCGCGTTACTTTTAAGACAAATTTTAAGAACATAGATATTTTGTAAGCTTCAACAATTCTTATCACTGAATCTAGTTCAATAAATTCTTATTGACTGTCATGATTCTCATAATTACTGAGTCCAAATTCTACTCTGTAGTACTAAAAATTATAGATAATTTACTTAATTATTTCACACAAGAAATTTATTTCAATATAGAATATAACTTAGGTATACTGTACTCATGGGCTTTATTACAGACTAAGGCTATCAGGAATTTTCTCTTAACATTTTATTAATGTTAAAATAGCCAAACTAAATTCAATTTGTATAACCTACCACACCAGAATTGGTACACAAAAGAATTCATATTTTACTATAAACATTCAGTTAAATTCTTCCATGTCAAGAGTTTGACACTCCGGTTCTAATTAAAATCTACAATGTTAAATATATACTGAGAACTAACTAACTAATACATCTTTCCAAATATTGAAAGAGATATCACCTGTCCTAAATTTTATACAGAAAATAATATTATACTTACTAATGGTGGGAACAAAATAAGATTTTCAGTGCATTATAAAAATAATTATCAAAACAACTGAAATTAGCTACATTAGAATGGCTTACTTTAGCCAAAGCATGTTGCAGAGAACTATAAGCTTTGAATTATTACTTGCATGATTAAGTAAATAATTTGCATAAGCAAAGGATTAAGGTAAGAAGACTAGTGAGTTAGGATAATCTAGTATGAAAGACTATTAAGTGAAAAGGTTAAAAAAAAAAAAAGCGTACAACAGAAACCCAACGAACTATTTAGTAGATAATGATGTCTGCACAAAATGTTGTTTCTAAGAACAGGAGATATTTTTCAAAATACAGATTCTTGTAGTCAGCTACTATACCGAAATGGTCTCCTTATTATTGCTACTTAAGATTTTACAGCAAAAAAAAAAAAAAAAAAGAAAAGGTCATTTATAATTGTACATTACAGAGGTAGGATACAGAATTGATCCTAGAAGAAACACCATTAAGTCACAAATGTCTGTTTAACTGCTACATATCTTACCAAAGACCAAGTAAACATAATAGGCTCTTAAAACAAAAGAATAAACTCCATTAGCTTATTTTTACCATGCAAATCACAGCATTTTTAAAGTACATAGCAACAAGAACTAATTATGCCAGGGAGTGGGAAATTTTCTAGCTACTTTATCAGTTAGGCAAATCAGAGCTCAGATATTTCAGTACCCCACCCACCATTCTCATTAGCTCCATTCTCCTTATAATACATGAAGAATTCATGGGCATAAATACTCAAAGTGCTGATTAGGAGAATAAAGAGAAATATGTTCTAAAGCATCCTGCTGATTTCACAAAAATGCATCAGACTAATGAAAACAAGTTTTATTGTTATTCTATATATTAGACCAGGGGAAGGTATAAACTGCAGTTTATCAGCACTAACTTTTCTGAGAAATGTGAAATTAAAAACCCAGTCTTCCAAAATGTCAGAGAAGGTTGCAATCACATCTATGCTTTTGTGTGCGGGCGCACGTGCACAAATGGGTACCTGTGTGGTACCAGGAGAGATCTCAAAGTCAGCAAGTTGAACAGCTCAGATACCTCAATTGTAGGCCTGCACGAAGGAGAGGAGGCACTCTTCTTCAATACAGTATTGGCTTACAGTCATCAGCCTGTGTTTACTATGACAACTTTTAAACATTAAGGGGGGGGGGGGAATAAGTTCCACTCATTCTGTTTAAGAAATCCAAAAATACAGATGTTCTTTAAAAAGAGAAAGACTAAATTCAAAATCACATTATTTCAGTTAAATGGCTGACTTCACTTTGTGAAAATTCATCATTTAGGATTTTGGCAGTTTCTGTACAAACGTATTCATATATTATACTTTAGTAAGAGGTATGTGCAGGAAAAAACTCAGTATTTAAAGGGTTAACCCTCTTTTTATGATATTTAAAGGTGATATTTTAATGTAAACTGAAATATGATGGAATGAGTCTTTAGCTTTCTGTGTGAAAAACACTGTAGAAATGAGAATAGCAAAGGTCCTCTGGTGAGATTAAGTGAAGGCCTATTCTTGCAAAGTAAGATTAAGAGGCATGCCAGTAGGCATGAAGAGATTAAGAAGTAAAGAGAAGGAAGACAGGTCTAGCTGGAGAGAATGTGCAAGAATGTTGTGCACAGTGAATGATCAGGAACAAGTTGGATTCGTATATACTGTCTACAGACATGCCCACGTTATAAGCCAATTTGCAGGATCATGTTTATATTATACTCCCATTTTATATTAAGCACAAAGGGAGGGATGGATGGAAAGGAAAGAAGAAAAAGAAAGAGTGAGGTACTCCTCAATATAAGAGGCTTGTGTGAGTGTGTAAGACAGTTAGGTGTAGACCTCAAATTTAACACTGGATATATCAGGGAGACAAAATGGAGAGGTAATTTTTAACTACTAGTATTTTAACTACTCGGTAGTGTTTGAACATCTGCAAAAAAAAAAAAAAAGAACAAGAAAAACCCAGCTCTACCCAAAGAGATAGATAGAAGGATGTTTAATGGTACCGTTATTTATTTTAGTAAGGAACAAATGAATGAAAAAAAAAACCCTCTTAACAATGTAGTGGTTAATTTATGGTACAACTGATCAATGTCATTCCATGTACCCATTAGAACAAAAGAGGTATATATAGAAAACCCAAAATACAATAAGGGGAGTGGGGAAACAAGATGCTAATACTGATACTGAGTACGATCTTGTTTTTGTAAATTAATAACAAATTATAATACATGTTAAGTGGAAGAACAGTTCCCAAATTTCAGTTTTCTTTAAGAAAATGTATTACAGATTTTTTATATTACATATTTTCTATCTGCTTGAATTCTTAAAATGAGTTTATCCCTCATTTGAAAGGGAAAAAAAATTAATATTTCACTTAGGAAATACCTGATATATCTCTACAAAATGTTGACAAGCGTAGGGTAATCAACAAAAATGTATCTGATTACTTATGAAAGATATTTATTCAATAGTTATCACATATATGAAATTACCTACAATTAAACAACTTTATTTCTATTTTATAATTAAGGAAACTGAGACTATGAAAAATGTCTTTTGTTCAGGGTCTATTGTTCAGGACAATGCTGATATCTGAAATAGGTCCATGTTACTACAAAGCTCTGTCTATTCAAAGAGACAACCTAAGTATTTCTCTACAGCCTCAATCCAAAAAAAGTTAAAATACTTCTATAGTACTAGATTCTCTTCTTATCATCTTGTAAACTGTTCTAAGAAAATGGAGAATGTGATGGGAAGAAAATGTTAAGTCTGTAACTTTTAAACACAGTAGTTAGTAGAAAAAACCTCTAACTTGAAATGTTAGATATTCTTATTGACTACTGATTTAGAGTGTCTCAGCCTACAATAGGGAAGCTCATCAAG